CAGGTCGCGGGAGGGAATGAACCAGTCCTGGTCTTCTTCCTCCAGCATCTCCTGGAAGCAGCGGTCAAGGAATTCCTGCTCCTGCAGCTCCTCCTCCACCTGCCCAAAGAGATCTGTTAGGTGCAGGCACAAACGACACGTATCTTGGGGTTTTCCATATGCTGTTTCCACCTGGAGAAAGCCAAGTCCGCGAGATGCCAATCTCCTCTCTGTACCTGTCCATGCCTCAGGAACACCCCATCAGAGCCAGAGCTGTATTTCAGCCCTGGATGAATTCGGCTCTGCCAATCTGCCTGTAGCCAGCCCCAGGAAATGCAAGAGCACAAAAACCGGCCCTTTTTGAGGGGAGCAGAGCCGCGCTCAGACGTAGCTTCCTGGCTGTGGCAGATTGCTGGGGTGGGGAGGTGCAGACCGCAAGCAAACAGTGCCGGGAGAATCCGGAAGGGAACGGGGTAGGATTTACAGGACGGGACCTATGGGCTGTCTGGATGCATCAGCACACACACAGGATTTCAGGCTGCTGGGCTTCCGTGGAGCTGGCTGCAAACTGAATGGGTTGGCTAACGAAAGCCAGCTGGGAAGCAGCGCTAGAGGAGCATGTTGCTGTGCGGCTCCTCTGCTACAGAGCAATGCCACAGCTCTGCCAGCCCCTATTTTTGCTTTCTTGCTTCCGTGCTTCTCCAGCTGAATGCCGCGGTTCTGCTCAGCCCGCTCGACAGACCGGTGCTCCACGAGCACTGACGCATGGTGGCAGTCGGCTCCCATCAAGCACACCGGGGATGACACCATCTCAACCGTAGAAAAACTCCTCCCGAGGCTGAGGAAAGCCACGGGACCTGGCTCGGGTTCCTGGATCAGAAAGCTGCTTGCGCAGCGGGTCTACAGGCAAAGTCAGGCAGGAGAGACGCACAGGACGGGGGGTTGGGGGTCCCATCTGTACCCTTGAGCAGGCAGGTACCACATGTGAGTCGCGTTAACTGGCTGCTCCCATCTTCCAGGCTGGTTTTCTCTGGATGCTGACTGGAGCAAAGCAAGCGAGGCTAGCCCACA